AAGGCACCAATAAAAAAAATTAAAGGCAAAAACTGAAAGAAAATAATCTACAAATCATACATATGATAAAGAACTTATATATAAAATATATAAAGAACACTTACAATTATTTAATAAGATAAACAACCCAGATTAAAAGTGAGCAAAAATTATGTGAACGGACATTTATTTAAAAAATACATATAATGCTAGTTAACATATGAAAAGGTGCTCATTATCATTAGTTATTACGGAAATTAAATAGAATTTATTAGAATGTGTATGAGCAAAAAACACCTTATTATACCCGGTATAAACAAGAAGGTGGAGAAATTGAAATCCTCATGCCCTTTGGAAAACAGTCTGGAAGTTTCTTGAAATGTTAAACATAGATTTTTCACATCACCTACCAGTTCTACTTTTCAGAATCTTCAATGAAAATATATATCCATGGAATTAAACACAAATATTCATCACAGAATTATTTATAATAACTGGAAGTTGAAACAATCCAATGTCCATCAACTTGTAAAAAGATAAACAAAAAGTAGTACATCCATAGATGGAATATTATTAGACAATAAAAAGAATGAAGCATCGATACCTGCTACCACATATATGAACATCAAAACCAATATGCAGAGTGAAAGAAATCAGAAACAAAAGACTACATGGTGTATGATTCCTTTTATATAAAATTCCCAGAGAAGGCAAATCTAGAGATAAAAAAAGTATATCAGTGACTGTGCGGGGTTGAGATGGAAATAGAGATTGGATGCAAACAATATAAGGAACTTTTCTGAGGTTATGGAAAAGCTATTAAACCGGATAAAGGGAATGGTTGAGCAACTCTCTAATTTACTAAAAATCACCAAATTGTACATTTTCAATGGATGAATGGACTTTATAGTAAGCAGGTCATCTTCAATAAGTTATTTTTATTTATTTATTTATTAAAGGAAATTTAACTCTCATCCACATTCCTTGAGAGTGCACTGGACTGTGATACTTTCAATCTTTTTTAACCAGATTTTTTTTTAAAAAAAACTCATCATTATTAATAATGTACATATTTTGACTTCTAGTAAAACTAAACATTTTCATCTACTTGGGTATTATTTTTCCAATAAGGATATCCATCTTTTCCATAAAGACATATAAGACTCTTACCTTCTTAAAATAGCAAAACGTTTTCAGTGATACCCAGTACAAATACTTTTCCCATCTTTTCATAAAATTTAAAACTTTGGTTTTTTTTTCTATATTGAACCATTTATTTTTATCTAGCTAAATGTGCGTGTGTGTGTGTGTGTGTATTCATTTATTGTTTCTGTGTTTGCTATTATAACAAATGATATTCTATTGAAAGATTATCAGAAATCTTGAGCATTGTTAATTAAGCATTCCCTATGCCAACCGCAATGCTAATGGGCCTCTCCATTTGGAAAAAAAGATAAAAATCCAACTTAAAATTTCAAAGTCAGGTGTCAACAGACTCTTTTCTTCCTTTAGCCCTTAAATGGAAAGAGACCACTGCTTGCCTGACAAATTCATAAATTGCTTCAGTAGAGAATTTACAATGTTGAATACTAGACACAAAAGTTGTAGGGATGAGGAACTAGAAAAATAAAAAGGATGTGAAAATGTGTTTGCTCTTGCTAATCATGCCAGAACTGTGATTCTAGGCCTTGCTAGCTCATGCCTCTTTTTAGAACATCAGATCATCACTTAATGACATGACCACTGCAAGCATTTGTGGATGTTTGATCAGAATAGCCTAGAACTCAGTTACTCACTGTCCCACCGCCAGTCCCCCAAAGTCCATGAATGTTATATTTCCCCTGCTCTTTCACTCATTCATCACCCATTAAGTAAAACAGGAAACTCAACTTGATTTAAATCTTACAAACTCAGACACAGGTCACATTGTTAAGTGCTATCTTGCTTACAAAAATAACACAGTGGTCATAATTTTTTTTGATTAATGTTGCTGTGACTATTATCCACAAATATATACATAAAACTTACATTTAATAAGACCATTTTATATTACATGCAGATGATATTATGGCCTAGAAGTTGTGTAACTGAGACCTAGTCATATAAAGATACAATCAGAAGGGGCATTCGAATGCCTGATAACAGGAAAGGACTCTGATTTTGTCTTTGTGTATTTGAGTCCTATCCACATTTTCAAGACCAGTCCAAATTCAGTTTTGTTTTCTTATCTATGGTAGAGCCTTTGAAATCTTACTAAACATTCTGCAACATATGCATGGACTAAATGTTGTTGAACTGTTTTGTGCCTGCTACTCTTATTCCTTCATTAAATTAAACATAAGCTCCAAGAGAGCAAACTGCATGTCCTTAACAACATTAAAATAGTACTAGGACTCCAGATCTTTTCATTGACTTTACTAGTACCACTTCTTGTTCTGCAGGACAGCTTAGAAAGAAGTTCATTAAATAACATTTCTTGATTTCAAGGTAAAGAGATACAAGGAACTAACATGGCAAAAATGTATTGCCATGGGGGCACTTTTGAAGCTGATTATAATGTAGAATCGGCAGTTGTTCAGGCAAAGAAAATATTGTGAAGTAGTACGTAAATGCTTTGGCAGTTATCCAACTGTACAGATCTCCAAGAGCTATGCATGGATCATCTCCAGTTCTCTTCCTCCTTCTTTTTTTCCCCTTATATGGAGGTAGGCTTTACCTATTGACAGTGGTTGCCAATGTAAGTTCCATGAACTCCAGGATTCCATGGGACAGCTCTAAGGTTTGACTGATAGAGATGGGATGGCCCTGACAGAAAAGTTTAATCTGTGGTTACCTCAGCTCAGGTATCAACCCAGGTTTTTTGAGCTCTAGGTATAAATAAAAAACCCTTCCCATTAATAAAGGAGAGTTTTCCATCTCTAAAAAACTTTCAGATGTCCTAAAGAACCACATATAGGTGCCTGTATACAGATTTGCCCCTAGACATAGAACTGTTGGTTAGCTCATTCATAGGAGTTCTTTCTTGCCTTCCAAAACCAGTTGTTCTACTGCTCTTCTTTTGCTCCCTTCTGTCGTGGGCAGTGACATAAAGTCAGGGTGATGGTTTTAATAGCTCTGGTTCTTGAACAAGGTAAAGTTCCAAAGTTTGGGTTTATTGTACATAAAGATGCACATCTAACCTGCTGTTTATCTAAACATTTGTTATAATTCCCAGGGAACAAGATGGCTCCAATTTACTTTATAATTCATTTCTTGATTATTTCATTGGGTTCCACTAAAAGTCCAAACCCATCATTAACCCTCAGATAAATGATGAAAATGGTAACATCAGTTTAATATACTCGTTTTAGTACAGTAGCACTAAAAAATAAATACTTTTATAAAAATTAAATTTAAATAATGAGTCCTAAATACTAATATTCTTAAAATACCATCCATCTTCTTAAGCTAGAAGTCCCTTTAGATTTCCTAAATTCCTTTTGTCCCACCTATCACTAAATGAAGAGTAAATAATGGTCAGGTGTAAGGACTGTGGGATTTACAGCAATTTGATTCCATCTTTGCTATTACCTATGGGTTGGTGAGAGGTTGGGTAATTTATGTCTTAAGTACAGTTCAATGAGGTTAATACCTGCTCAAAGAGTACTGAGATTCAATGAGATAATGCAAGTCAAAAGCATGAGGCACAGAGTATGTTCACACGGAACTCTTCAAGAATTTTTTTAAAAACTGCTTTAATTATTATTATTTTTTAAAAAAAAAAAAGAGGAGTAGGAGACATGTCTACTCCAAATTCTCGGTGATAACAAATAAGAATGTAAAAGATTCTGGATTTTAAAAGGTCCAGTATTTTAAAATAGTTCCCTCTCTCTCTCTCTCTCTCTCACCTCCCTCCCTCCCTCCTTCCCTCCCCCACACCCAGTCGAGTCTTTAATTAATAAGGTAGTTTATTATTTGTAATTTTACTTCAAGTTTAATAGTCACACTATTGATTTGTTGGAAACCCTGGGGCACTTTGGTTGGAAGGTGCAAAGCATTTTCTTAGTAACCATCGGGTCACACTCCAGCTTCCCCAGGAAGGTAGAAAGATTTCCTTCCCTTACTGGAACAATGTCAAGTCGCATCCCGACCCCGAAGGAAGTATGTGCCCCCACGCGTGGTACTCGGTGTAAGAGGCCTGAGCGGAAAGGAACACGGTGCGTGAGGGCACACAGTCCTCAAGAAGCCGGGGAAGTCTCAAATGACCCCGCTTCCTTCAGTGCACCGACGAGCGCTAGAAGGAACCAGTGGGAGTTCAGAGACAACCCGGTGGCCCCTGACCTTGGACCAGCCACGCCAGGCGTCCGCGGCACGTTTAGATCTTTCACGCTGCCAACTCCGCGGCTCTCACAGCGAACTACTAGTACGTCCAGGCCGCCGGGGCCCCGCCTGCGCAGTCCCCAGCCCTGATTGACACCAGAGTTGGTACATACGGGTCTACAGCAGAGGAGAGCAGGGGGTGGGCGCTATTTTAAACATGGCTTTCCCTCTTAGCCTCAGAGCCACCGCGGCACAGCGGGCACGGCCCATACGGGGACAATCTCAACATCTGCCCGATTTTATTTATTTATTTTCGATTTCTTAATGCTCGTAGTTTTTTCCTCTTCCCGTTGATTTCTTTCACACTAATCACAACCTGGAGTTTGTAAAGAGGAAAACTCTTCTCCTACAAGGGGAAATAGAAATCTCTTTTGCTGCTTTTTCTGGAGGTGCAAACCATTCTAGTGAGAATGAGTTCCTAAAGAGGGGAAGCCGCGTCGCTGGAGAGAAAGTAACATTCAGAGATCGATGGGGACAGAAGGTGGGAGAGAAGAAGAGAGAGAGTAATGCTTGCAACAGGCATCTGAAAACAAGTGTGGAGCAGTAAAGAGATCCCCAATTCCCGAGTTACTACTGCGCGAATTCAGCGCGTCCATGGCAAAGACAGGATTTGCTGTAAGCGCAACTGAAGGCCTATGAAAATCTTTTTAGGTAAGACTTACCTTTCTCTTCGGCATAATGACTATATTGGTGCAGCAAAAAAAGTAAAGCAACGGGCTGGATCTGCTGGCACCGCGGCTGGATGCTGCCTCTGCCGCTGCAGCTGTTCACGCGCAGGGCACAACGTAGCCCGGCCTCTCCGACCTGCACCTCCGCGGCTCCCTCCCGAGGCCCTCCACTCTCTCGCTTCCCGTTCCTCCAATGAGAGATTCCCTCAGCCGGCCGCGAGGCCCCATTGGCTGAGGCAACGTTCTAAATTCCACGAGGGCACGCCCACCTCCGCGCGCACTGTACGCGCTGTTGTAGTTTCCACTTCGCTGAAAAATCTGCCTGGCGACTGAGCATGCCCAGTTCAACTAGTAGCCTTCGGGCCACACAATCCTGGAGTTTTATTGTTTTGCCGCTTCTTTGGATTGTATCAATTAGAACGGTATGCATCTTTATAGAAGAAAAAAAATGTACGGATGGACGCATTAACTTGACAATATAAATATACACCCAGCAGGTAGTTTACTTATTTCGTACCCAAAAAAGCTTGTGATGAATGTTGAAAAGATGGAGACTAGTAAAGGTTAGGAAGGTGCTCACTTCTATAAGTGTCTTGCAATCTTTGAGGATCTCAGTTTCCCCCTCTACGAATCTAGAAACAGGAATCCCTAAACTTGCTTAGCTCTTATTTTCTAAAATCCATGATTACAAGTTACCCACTAATATTTTCTAAAGTCCATGATTACAAGTTACCCACTAATTCGGCCAACCTCAAGCTAGGTGTGAAGATGATTAGAATATGTTTTCTATGGAAATAACAGGGCGAAAATGAACGAGTTTAGAAATATTTGAAACACATGTTTAAATGACACCTATCGTCATATTTTGTGCATAGTTTAATGTTTCTCCAAGTTCTGCAGTGCATTGAACAGGCATTTCAAAAATACTTATGACTTTATTTAATCAGAGTAATTTTACCCTGGTAACAAAACCAGTGAAAAAACTCAAAAGAAAAGAAAATTATAGATCAATATGCTTCGTAAACATAGTAGTGAACAAAATTTTAATAAATCAAACTCAACCTTTGAAGAATAATATGTGACCAGTGTTTAGCCTGAGGATACAAATTTAAGATCAACTAATGTAGTTCACCATAATTATGTAATAAAAGAAAAATATGATCATTTCAACAAATGAAGTAAAAGTTGCAAAGAATGGTTAAGCAAATTGTGATAAATACATACAACGGAATACTACTGAGCAATAAAAAGAAACAAATGGTCCTACATGGATAAACAACAAAAATGCTAGGTGATAGAAGCCAAATACACAAGACCATACTGAATGATTTCATTCATAAAAAATTATTGAAAAACAAAATTAGGCAAGTTTGGTTTCAGAATCATCTTAGAAGGCAAAGTTCACACCATAGGAAAATGTACTGAAGCCTTAAACTACAAATATGACCAAATCCAATTTGGTCACATGGAGGCTGTAAATGCAATCAAGCAATACATTTTAATACCTTACTTTTTATTTCTTAATTTTCAGAATAAATGAATTGATATTCTTTCAAACTCTAGAATGGATTGATGAGTTTCTTTTTGGAATATCTTTATAAACTCATGGTATGTTTTCAGTCTTTTGCTATTATTATTTGGCATGCTTCAATCTACTGCTATCATTATTATTTTTAATTGCTCCTATTGACTTATTTATGGTCAATAAGTCTTTCCAAATTAGTGTCTTTATCATTTTGTCCTGACACCGATTGTCTTTGGTAGATTCCTTGCTCTTTGGCATTCAGTGGAAGACAATATACTCCAAAGAACAAAGATAAAACCTATTCATTGCTTTAGAGCTTCATAAAAATGTAGAGATTAATAAATTTACCATTAAAATAATATGATGAAGATGTCTTATTTTAAAGTTAATTTGCCAACAGTGATATTTCAAAAAAAAATCAGGGAAGAAGCTGAATGTGGCTCAAGCAGTAGCGTGCTCGCCTGGCATGCGTGCCGCCAGGGTTCAATCTCAGCACCACATACAAAGATGTTGTGTCTGCCAAAAACTAAAAAATAAATATTAAAATTCTCTCTCTCTCTCTTTAAAAAAAAAGTCAGGGAAGATACACACACACACACACACACACACACACACACACACACACCCCAAAGGTGCTTAACCACTGAGCCACATCCCCAGCCCTTTTTATTTTTATATTTTTATTTTGAGACAGTGTCTCACTAAGTCACTTAGGGTTTTGCTAAGCTTGAGGCTGGCCTTAAATTTGCAATCCTCCAGCCTTAGCCTCTCCAGCTACTGGGATTACTCCAGCCTTAACCTCTCCAGCTACCAGGATTATAGGCATACACACTGGCCTGGGAAGATATTTTTAATATGATGTATGGGAAAGATGCTGGGTAGCACTTGAGATCTGGGTTGAATTGTTTTTCTTTATGAAAATTTAAAGGTGTCAGAAGAAAGCTTTAGTCTTTAGTCTTTTGGGCTAAGAATCACAAAATTGTTTTCTTTAGTTGATATCTTGCAAGGACAAACAGTTAACAACAGCAAACCAAATTTCGATTATTTTAAATGCACCTAATAAAATGATTGTAATGAAATCGAAGCTTGCTAGCTGGAAAAAGAAAGTTGATTGCAGAAGAACCTTGAGTCATTTGAGCCTTTTAGCTCATTTACAAATACTGAAACTAACAACTTTGGTTGAAAAATACAAACGGTTATCTGTCCTTTGATGTGAATTGCACCTGACTGAGTGGGACTGGAGGAGGGAGTGTTCTCCCTTGTTCCTTTAGTAGCCTTCAAGATCTGGGGAGATCAACACTGATCTCCACTGGCAACACTGGAAGTTAAAGAATAGGCAAAAAGAATGATCAGTAGGTAGCTAGAATTCCAGTTTAAGAGATAAAGACACCTGGGCAGAAATGAGCACACCATGTGCAAGATTGTGCAGAGGACACCCTGGTAAGAAGTAAAGACTCATTTGTTTTTTATTAAATTTCACTGAGCATTTCTGTTGTTTTCAAATTATAAAACTCTAAAATGGTAAAAGCATCTTTATAGGATACAGATGCTACATTAGCTAAGATAGACAATAGGTAAATTAAGGGAGTTACTGCGTAAGAATGAAAGAGGCAAATTAGTGAATAAACTTTGTTTATCTAACTCCCCTTTTCTGTCTTTCCTCCTCAGAACTGTTGGAATTCTACACCTATCTCAGCATTTTTCGAACAACAAGGCAAAACTATTTACAGTATTATGATTATCACCAAGGAAATGGAGAGAGAGAGGGAAAGAAGTAGAGAAAGGAAAGAAAAAGGGCCAAGCATAGAAAACCAGAATGCTTTTTCACATGGCAGAGGTAAGTAATTTTTTATAAAATGATTGTTTCCATTTTCGATATATGTGCACATAAACACACATGATATACATGTGGTGCATGTGTATTTATGTGTGTGTGTGTGTGTGTGTCTATGTGTGTAGTGTATTGAATTGTGATGGGAAATGAATTTTTACTATTGGTCTTGGTGAAAAATATTTTAAAATTATTGCACAGCTAATGAAGTTTGTGGAACTCTGGGGCTCCAGAAATTTGATCCTCTGGAAAAAAAAAATGGTGTTTGATCTGCATATCTTGAAAGGAAATTTTGAATGGAAACTTTAAATGGAGAGGATCATTTTGTAAAAAACATCCCTCTTCGTCTGTCCCCTTCCCTCTATGAGGCAGGTACAGCTTCCTTAGACTTTTGCTCTAAGTAATGGCAAATTGCTGGAGAAGTCAGACCTAGAATTTGTACATTGTTGCTTGTGGTAGCTCTGTAATTCCAGGTTATGTTATGGTCCTTTAATAAATAGGCCAAAGAATTCTCAGGTGCATTCAAAAGTATAACAAAACAACATAAAAACAACAAACAAAAGGTAGCAAAATAATACTCCATTTGGTTTGCATTTTGTCACTCAAGTTTCTAATGTGATTGCATGCTAACTTTTCACTAAGTTTCATTTTTATAGGTTAGATTTTACAAAGCAACCAATACAATGCAAGAACCACTGGTCCCAAATCACATGAGCTACTTGACAACAATGCATATTCCTAGACCCCAGTTCCAACATACTGAATTGAAATCTTATTATTAGGCCTTGGAATCCACATTTCAATTAGTTTCTCAGATAATTCTTACACTAGAATTGGAGAATTCTAGACCAGGCCTCTTCTTTTAACAAATATACACTAAATGCTGGTATAGTCATCTCTGGTTCCAGGGTCCCCTATAGATAACCAAATCTGGGGATGCATAAGTCTACTTATAAAATAGCATAGTATTCTCATATAATTTACATGCATCCTCTGTGTATTTGGAATCTGTCTCTAGATTGCTTCTAGTACCTAACACCATGTAAATGCTATGAACACAGTCATTATGGTATTTTTAAGGGAATAATAAAAGGTTGAAAAGGTTCACAAGTTTAGTACAGATGTAACTTTTTTTCCCTGATATTTTTGATCTGTGGTTGGTTGAAATCTGTGGAGGTAGAACTTGTGGATAAAAAGGGCCAACTGCACTTAGATTTTGATCATATATATCTATAAATCCTGATGACTTTTTAACACACTTTCAAAGCAGGAGCATAGTTCTACAGGTAAAACCCCTTCCTGATAGACCTCAGCTTGTGCTTCATTTCTTAATTCCAGGTTAGCTGGGCTCTAGCTGTTTTTTTTTTCACATTCTTCCTCTTCCTTAGTTGCAGGGGGCCTGAAGGGTGATTAAAAACTATTCACATCCTGATACCCAGAAAAACATCTCTTCCATTTTCCCAAGCGTCACTCTAGGCAACTTCCTGAGCCCCTGCAAGATTAAAATAAAATCCCTGACACCACATCCCCAAAGAGAACCTAACCTAGGGAGACTGTCCTAAGCCAAAGTCCTGCAAGCCACACTCTCACAGTTATGCAAATGATTGTACAAGCATATCTTGTAATTATTAACAGCAAGAGGGGCCAGAGCATTCTGCGACCTTCAGACAGGAACCCACTTCTTTTTTCCCCAGCCCTCAATCAAATTTAATGTGTGTAGATTGTTTACCCCAAATGTGTTTTAAAGTTGTCCCACCCTCAGTCATTTTCAGTTCAGTTTCTGTGCTATTTCCCTCACCTCCTTCTTCTTGCTGCTGCTGCTTAAACTCACAAAAGTGCAATTAATTTGTTCTTTGTTTCTCCCAAATGACATTTGGAGATGAATTAAGAATGCTCAGTAGCTGGACACAGGGACTGGGTCACGTTTGTTTAGCAATCCCTTTTTGCCAGAGCATTAGCATGTCCAGTGCCAAGAACTAGCCAAGTTCAAGGATGCAAAAATTGAGAGAAACCCTCAAGGTTCATGGTGAGGACACAGCAAAGTAAGGTTGACTTCCATTCTCCTAAGGAAAAAGCTACAAGATGACGAAGACCTGTAAAGAGTTGTTGTGAACACTAGGGCTGAGTTACATCTTCTCATGGCCTCCTATTATTGCCAGCTTGCTCTCAAATAGGACCACAACCTGCTCTCTAACCAGGGGGTCTACCCATTTCTGTTGTCTCCTATATTTCTTCAGATTCCAGAATCACTGGGAGCTTGTAAGAGACCCAATAGCCCGATTACCATCGTCATTGCAACAGTCCTGCCTTCCTGAGCAGATTGTACTGTTTTTCTTTTCTCAATGAAAGTGAAGAATCCCAGGTTTAAGAATATGAGAATCAAATGAATCATTCTATAAACTATCATGTAGCAACTGGAGATGATTTTCAGGGTAGCTTTTTCCCCCAGGTATTCTAATTCTGAAGTATTAGGTAAGAATTAATAGAGGCAATAGAATAAGTTTGCCAGGTCAGAATGAATTCTAACCACGATGCTATAAATTTTTACTCAGCAGTGGAGAAGTTGTCTGAAAACATGCCGTGATCTTCAAGGTTGCTTTTAAGTAGACTTTTTTTTTAAGCACAAAATTGTGTTATCCCCATTGAAAAATCTCTCTTCCTCCCACCTTTTCATTTCCACGTCTGTTCTCTAGAATATGAAACAAAATATTTTTGAATAATCTGATTAGCATCTTTAGATGTTAAAGTTTTTTTTAAGCTTTTACCATTTTAAAAGTAAATGTTTTATCAAAAGTCCTAAATTTGAAGTCATATATGCAAATTCAAATCCAAGTCATTGAACTATGATCACATAACCTTTTTGAACCTTGGTTTTCTTGTTGTAAAATTAAGAAAATAGTGTTTATCTAAGGCAGATATGGCTTGTTACCTTCCCAATATTCACACCAGCTTTATTTCTTTATAACAGAATTCTGATTTCAGCAATAGTCCTGGCCAAAGCAAAACAAAACAAAGACTTTAGTTTCCCAGGTCCCCTGTAGATAGAGGTTGCTATGTGACACCCTCCCTGCTGGGATGTGGAAGTCACAGAAGTCAGGAGGTGGTAGTGTAAACACACCTACAACCCTGGCAGAACCAGCCCTCTGCCTTTGTTCTCCCCTTCCTTCCATCCTGGAAGTTGCTGACAATGTCAAGAAGGGGAATAGGGATCTTATTATGTTTCTAAAGATGAGGGGCACAAGGTAAGGATGAAAGCAGAAAGAGGCGCCTGAGTCTCAGTCTTGACCCTCTCATATCTGCAAAATAAACACCCTGTTTGATCAAGCTCCTCCAGGGGATATCTGTAAAGTGCAACTGAAAACAATCCCTAATTGATACACTGCTCCATAGAACTGGTATGAAAACTGAAGAGCATCTACTGTTAAATTATGGGGATTCACATGTGCCTGAAGCATGATACTTAACATATTTTGTTCGAAGCAAGTATGTTATATTTCTCTTTAGATTATAAAAGAGAGCCCTGGAAGATTTTAACTTCCTGAATCCTAGAGAGACCGATTATAAACATGTAGTGTAACTCTCGTAAAATTATTTTAAAGTAGGCAGGGATAAAAATGATGTAGTAATTTATTGTTGCTATAGAATGTAGTGCCCTACAATATGGCCTGTTGCTATATTTTAAGGGATGGAGAAATTGGAATTTTGCTCAGTTTCCTGTTTGTTGCAGTATGCCTCCTAGCACCCACACCATAGATGCACAGATGCATAGAGTCCCCAGTGCAGCTAGGGTCCCAGATATGATATGCATTTGGCTAATCACACATACTGGCACGAGATTCAGAAAATGGAGGTTAGGGAGAGTCCACACTTGTGCTCTATCTGCTGTGTCTGCTGCTTTTTGTTTTCCTACAACAACATCAGCAAAGATCCCAGGCAACAGCTTTGTGGGTTTTGAGAGGCATCCATTCTGTAAGCAGAGACTGTAGCAGGTCTGACCAGTAATTGTCAGCAATAGTGGCTTCCTGACTAAGAAAGTGAGGACTAATATTCTGAGTCCTAATAATCAGTGGATTCAGAGATGTAGCTTATTTCATGGACTTGGTTCTGGATAGATTTTCCTACAACCTAGAACCTGTTTCTTTTATTTAGTGTCCTCTCAACCTTGAGTTTGTTTCTTTGGTTCTCCCAGCTGTGCCATAATCCACTGAATTCTTGAATCTCTACCTCCTTCCTTTGGGAAGAGGGGATTCTATTTCTTGCAATGGAATCCAGAGCTTTGGAGCATCTGTTAGAACTATTTACTAAAATTTTCTGGCTTTAAGAGATGCATGCTCTTCTGGTAGAAGTAATGATCAGAGAAGAAGATGTTGAGATAGAGATTGTCTTGGGTGCCTTTGAGTAATCATGGTGGAAAGAGCCTTTTGAAGAATCCCTTCAAGGACATGAAGCACAAGTGAAAATTAACCTTTTATTTAAGTTGCTGAGATTTGGGGATGTTTGTTACCACAGATTTACCTGTCTTGTCCTGAAATGGCATAGAACTTAGAACTAAGTAGGTTACTGCTTGAATATAAAATATAATATGTGAGTTTGACTTAAGTACTGGACAAAGAGAATCAGGGAACTATCACTGAGGACTGGAGCAATGGAAATACATGTTTTCTCATAGTGAAACATTTGACAAAATTATTTGTAGTAAATTAGAAGGCAAATGGCTTACCTAACTTTAGGGAAAAGGTTTTAAAAAGATTCTTATTACTGTTTATTGTCAACTACTAGCTGCATTTAATAATATATTATAAGAAAGAGATATGTTCCGAGAAGAACTGGTTAATTTTTAAGGACAAATAAGAGAGTACAGAGTTTGAAAATTCAGGAACTTATAACTCTAATAGAAGCTCTGCAACTCTGGATACCATTGCAGAGAAGAGAACTCCCCCTCCCCTTCCCAATGGAAGAAGAGAAAGATTTAAGAATTTAGTGGCTTATGGAAGAGCTGTGAGAAC